CAGTTTAGCTTTCTCTTTTAAATATCACTTAAAACAAGATGATTAAAACACACTTATTCCTTGGCAGAGAAGCTGTAACAAACCTAGACAGTGCATGAAAAGTCAAAGATATCACTTTGTCAACAAAGGTCCATTATAGTCAAAGCTATGGTGTTCTCAGTAGTCATGGATAGATGTTGGACCATAAAGAAGGCTGAGCACCAAAGAACTGATGTTTTCGAACTGTGGTGCTAGAGAAGACTCCTGAGAGTCCCTTGGATTGCAAGGAGATCAAACCAGTCAATCTTAAAGGAAATTAACTCTGAATATTCTTAGGAAGCACTGATGCCAAAGCTGAAGCTCCAATACTTTGGCCACTTGATGCAAAGAGCTGACTTATTGAAAAGGCCCTGATGCTGGGAAAGACTGAGGCAGGAGGAGAAGAGGGTGACAGAGGGTGAGATGGTTGGATGGTATCACGAACTCAATGGCCAGGAGTTTGAGCAAACTCCAGCAGATAGTATAGGACAGAGAGGCCTGGCATGCTGCAGTCCATGGGGTTGCAAAGAGTCAGACATGACCTAGTGACCAAACAACAACAAAAACAAAATGATATGTACTTTTTTTTCCCCATTTGGCCATGCTGAATCTTAGTTGTGGTATGTGGGATCTAGTTCCCTGACCTGGAATGAACCCAGGCCTCTTCACTGGGAACTCAGAGTCTTAACCACTGGACCACCAGGGAAGGCCTCAGGTTCAGCTTTTTTAATACACATCTTCTGTCCAGGTAAAAGACACATTCTCCTCTTTCAAAAAATATTCCAAGTTGTCTTTTGAAACAAGAGTATTCTGACTCCACTCCCAATGGTGTCTTCAAAAGCATCGTACTTCCTACTAGGTATAAATTAGCCAAATACACAGGGGGCACAGGTAGTTATGCTACATATAGTATAATCCCTTTTTAAAAGTAAAAAACCTTCATGAAATAAATTCTTCATCTTTTGTCAATTAAAAAAATTATTCAAAACAATAGTAATAACCTTGTAGCATCATTTTCCAAACATGCAAAAAGACTCTAGACTCACACTGGTGTCAGGTGATGGGTCTTCTGAATGCAAATGCTCTGTGAAAAATTAAGAAAAATAGAAGGCATTCTCCTGACTGGACGGCAGAGGGAGAAAGAGGAATGGACTGGCCATGGGAAGATGGGAAGCCAGGCAAAGGAAGAAGGGGCTGCCCTTTATAGAACTTGACTGCTAGCCACAGACACGGACTTGTTTACAGAGAAGACACCTGTAAACAAATCAATAACGATCCCAATTGTCAAGGCTATGAATGGACACCCCCAGCAAGCCCAAGCCTGGCCCAAAAAACTGTCTCCAGAAATTTACAAGTAATATTTCAACCTTTGCTTATTTTCAGGTTGGCAGGAGGGAGATAGAAAAAAAAAAAAAAAACCAAAATGCACCTGATCTCAACCAGAACAAAAATAATAAATGAGTTTAGGAGACTAAGAGTGAAAACCAAAATGCAAATATAGCTAAGTTTTGCCCAAAGTAGAAAAGACTACTTCTTTAAAGCACAGAAAGTGACATGCTTGAGATATGAAGTCCTGAGAATCAAGAAAAGTGTGGACTTAATGAGTTTATCAATCTGCTTACCAGGAGTTAAGACAGAAATGAGAGAGAATCAGTGAAATGGCCATTTGCTTTCTCATTTAACCTAGCTGCTATCCTTATTGATCATCAAACCTTCTCATTTACATTCCCATCATACAAGAAGAATGATTAAAATGCCAGGCCTGATTCAAATAACTGATATATGGCAGAAACAAATATATTTATATGCTTTCTAGAAAGATTAATAGTAGCTGGTGCTGGCTTGCCAAGTGAAGATGCACAAACTTTCTATCTGATGCATAAATCAAACGCAAAGCATATAGCATATTTTAAAGACTGCTGATGTTACAGTGATTTTAAATTACTCAGGTTCTGGAATAAACTATGCAGATGTTGACTAATGTGGTAATGTATTCTGGAGCTTCTCTTATTAATTTAATGTTATAAAATGTAATAGCATTAACCAAAGAGGTCTGAGGAATTAAGAGAAAAAATAAACATATTTGAAATCAAGGGTATTTTATTTTTAACCCATACTTTATTGATGAATAGTCTGATCATTTCCATTGTATTTCACTGTGATTAAGATTCTTTAACATGCTTCCCTGTACACTCTTAAAAAATTTTTTTTTAATTTAATTTTATTATTGGAGTATAATTGCTTTACAATATTGTGTTAGTTTCTGCTGTGCAACAAAGTGAATCAGCTAGGGATATGTTTTTATAATGAGTTGTTTGCTAGCTTGGGCAGATTCATTACAAAATGGTTCCATTAACCACTGTGGTTTAGTAGATTACAATGATAACTTTGCTTCTTGTCCCTTTAAAATTAAATTGAATGGAAAAGAAAAACTGAACAAAATGACAAAAGAAATGGAAGGGCAAATAAATGAAGACGGAGAACAGTGTGATTTGTAATGTCAAATGAACAGTGGCTGAATCAGAGATGCCCTGATGTACCAAAAACTATTTACAAGTTTCCAACCTGCTGGCCACTAAAACCAGCAAATATGAAAAAATCAGCAGTGTTCAGAGTTAAGTAAAGCAGAATACTGGACTGGAAACCAAAGAATCTGGGTGAACTTCTCAATTCTGCTCTTGGTTGGTACCTGCCTACCTTTCAGGGGCATGGTAAACATGGCCTGAGAGGCGCGTGTAGGTTTGAAAAGCACTTTTTAAACTGCTCTCCTGCTTGTGAGTGCCAGGTACCACCATCCTCCACCCTCTCCCCGTCCTCATCCTTAACCTCAAGTCACTTCCTGTAACATCTTGGTCACTGTTTAAAACACATCTGTGAAGTCAAGTGATCTGGGTACAAGAAGACACTTCAAAATACTATTGGTAGAAATAATTATTTGAAAAAAATCTGTAAATGGCTTTTATACCTGTTTAAGAATGGTGAACTGAGCACTGTGATTCACACAGTCCTGAATTCTGGATTCCCTTCCAACAACCCCAATCATTTTGATCACAGAACACATCACTGTTGTGACATAGACAAGCTTTTCCATCTCAGTGAAATGGAGAGAAAGTAGAAGTCTGGTCCTGATCTTTTTTCAGAGGGTCAGAATACTCCGTGCATAAACACATCGTGTTGGCAAGAGTCAGGGGAACTACCAATCTCCTGCCCATTGTGGGAGGTAATCAATCAAGATTAGCCACAAACACTGACCCAGGAAATATTTCTCAGTGTGAGGTCCTGGAAGTTCTGGTGGGACAGGGGTGGAGGGATGGGGGTGCTGACAGGGGAAAAAGAAGAAAGCCAACTGTCTCAAGATTTATTTAGAATACCTCACTTCTCTGAGATTCTTAACCACTTCATCAAAGTGTGGGTATGCTGAGATGTTTTTAATATGATTCATGAACTGTTGCTCCCACCAAGGGAAGTAATAATCACATGTCCATTCATTCATTACCTGTTCATGCATGAACACCTAGCAGGAGTCAGATACTATGTTAAATGCCAGGGACACAGCTGTCAACATGCACACGTGGGCCCTGGCTTTAAGGATATTAAATTCTAATGAAAAAGGGAGAGCAACAAAGAAAAATAAGAAAACGTACAAAACAATGGCTTGCGATAATAATGACTGTGATAGAAGCTAACAAGAAATGGAGTGATGCAATAGGGATTACACAGGATTGCTGGGGGCTACTTTAGATAAATAATCAGAGAATCCCTCTCTCAGGAGGAGGCTTGAATGAGAATGAGCGAGCCAAGTGAAGAGTTGGGGAAAAGTTTTCCAAGCAATGGAAACAGAAAGTGCAAAGGCCCTCAGACAGAAGGGCTTAGAGAACTGAAGGCATCATAGAGAAGCCAGGTGGCCAAGCAAACTGAGGAAGGGAGAGGAGTGTGAGATGAGGCTGGAACAGTGGCCAAGAGCTACAATTCACACGCACGCTGTGCAGACCAGGTTCAGGAGACTTACAGGATAAAGGTTTTCAAGTCTTAATGGGTTTTAAAAGGCACAGTTTGATTTACATTGAAAGGAAATTGAAACAGAGCAGGATACTACGGTTCTTTCCCTCCAGATCTTCCGCCTGTTTTTTGTCCACAGAAGAACTTCAAAGATTAAGTTTAATCGGAGAAGTAAGAAAATGCAGAAGCGAATGAAGACAATCAAACAGAACCAGAAAGTATTAGTTTAGTCACTAAGCAAAGTTAGGGACCTTGAGGTCCTCCTCAATGGCTACAGATAGCAATTGGAGCCGTATCCTTTGGGCTGTTCTACAGACACTGAAACCCCCATCAGGTGGAATAAGCTAACTACCGGATGATCAGAATGTAGCCATGACATAAGCTGCCACAATTCTGAGAAATGGCCTCCAAGAAATGGGAATACACTGACCCTGGAACTTAAAACTGACTTTGAAACAATCAAGATGACACGGATCAGACCACTGCATGACCAATTTTAAGACAACTGTGCTATTTCCACATGTAGCCTGTTCTCTCTGCCTATACACCTCCTCCTTCTGTCTATAAAAGTTCTCGCCCACTGAATGTCAGTGGGGGATGGGCGGGTGGGAATTGGCCTCTGGATATGAGTCCACCCTCCCTCAGGTTGCCCACCTCCAAAACAAAGCGAATTTTCCTTTCTACCAGCCTTGCATTTTTATTGGCTTTTGAGTCTCAAGCACCTGGATCCCACTCTCAGCAACAGTATTACCCTATGTGCATGCCCTTTGTATAAACACATAATGTATAAACATAACCTTTATTCTAAAGAGGCTAGCATTTGGAGAAATCAGAAGGCATTTTGACTGCATTTCCCAGTATTTAAATAAAAATGATCTTAGAGGACTAGATGTTTAGAAAGCCCTTAAGAGCCACCTGATAACCAGTATATATAACAATGGATGTAAGGTTTTAAAGAAATGAAACAAAATAAATCTACATACCTCCTCGTTGCACCAATAATGTGACCTCACTTCCCTTTGGACATTCGATGAGCATATCCACGACTTGGTTGTGAGTTAGGGCCTGCACATTCTTCTTATTAACTTCCACTATAAGATCCCCTTCTTTCAGGCCTCGGCACCTTGGACTGTCAACAATCTGTTTCACTCTTTGGCCGCCACCCCCAGGACTGTCCGCGATAGTAAAACCAAAACCCATTGGCCCTTTGACTATATGAACAGTTATGAGTTCTGGCTGAGTGGCTATGGAGGAAGCCAAAGAGACAGTGTCATTGGGGTAACCATGGGAACCATTTGAAGCCACATCCGCAGGGCTGCTTGGCCTGGCGTCCTTCATACTGCTGACTTTGCCTGTTTTACTACTGTGACTAGCTGGCGAGTCATAGGTCTCTTGACCATTCACAATAATTGGTTCTTTATCCAAAATGGCCACCGAAGTCACTAAACTTGTGTTGGGGTCATCTGGGTCAAAAGGCAATGGATAACCTCGGCAGAGTTCAAGGTCCACGCTGGCACCAATGGGAATGGACTGGAAGATTTTCACAACTTGTGCATGAGTGTGTCCCAAAACACAGGTGTCATTCACGCTCACAATCACATCTCCTGCAAAAGAGTTTGGGATTAAAAAAACTGCCCAGGAAAGTTCTATCAATTTTATACTATAAAATCCTACCAATAAGAAGTTGAGCTGAAATTGGATTAGGGGGTGATACTACAAGGCACAAAAAGCTTCTATTACTTTGTTTATGCTAATAAGGCATTCTTGTAGCATTTACTGTCTTCCCTGCTAATGGGAATATAATGATCATTGAAAGAACATTTGAGCTTTTTTGTTCAAAAAAAAAAAAGGAAAAAAACCACTGCAGAATACCAAGTTGAGAATTCATTCATTCAAATGGATCTGCTTTTTTAGTAAATTACTCCTTTACTATACTTGACAGCACCCTAACAGTTCCCCAAAAGGAAAAATGTTAAAGCAGCTTCAAAGCTCTTCATCTATACCAGGGGACACATTTACGTTGTACAGGAAGGTTGCTCATTCGCCAAGTTTTTAAAGGACAATGACAAGCTCAAGAAATCACGATGCTGTCTGGTCCTGACCACACAGGACCAAGTTGTGTCTCATACCTGTTTCCATCTTGCCATCCAGGGCGGCAGGACCATCTAGGACCAAGCTCTTGATTTGCAGAAACTCGTCAGGTTCATCCCCTCCAACGACTGTGAAACCAAAGCCACGACTGCTTTTCCGCAGCTTCGTGTGAATGAATTTGCCTTTCAACTCTGAAGGGTTTCGTGTAAAAAAGGGTTTGCCTGCATCAAAACAAGATGTGTAAGGAGGGTCACCATGAGTGAAAAGATGAAGTAAATAAGAAATGATACAAGTTAGAGATATCTCTCCAAACTCCTGTGCTGGGGCATGGGCACAGAGGTTTTTCAAGAAAGTCCTTCTTGATTTCAGTTATAAGGGAATTCCTAGACCCTTTTGTGTAAGGAGGGGGCTAGGGTTCACTGTGTGCCAGCATGAAGATCAAAAGAAAATGTAACAGAAGGATGACTTTGGTGTCCACAGTCTGACACAGATCCTTGGTCTTGTTTCATGTAGTTTGACAGCAACTGAGTTGCTATGAGGCCCTTCACAAAAAATGGAGTGGGACTTTGTTTTGTGTCTTTTGTTTTGTCACAGATTATATTTTCTACCATGGCTTCCAGTATGTTGTCTTGAGTTTGGCTCCCATTTGTAGAGTCAATTACACAGAAACTTTTCAAACAGAAAACTCATTCTGAAAATAAAAAGATGATACCAGGAGACATAGCATGGTCACCAAGAATAACTCATATAAACAAAAAATGGAGAATCATGGGACTTCTCTGTTTGTCCAGTGGTTAGGTCTTCCCTGTAGCTCAGTCGGTTAAGAGTCTGCCTGCAATGCAGGAGACCCGGGTTCAATCCCTGGGTCAGGAAGATCCCCTGGAGAAGGAAATGACAACCCACTTCAGTATTCCTGTCGTGGAGAATTCCATGGACAGAGGAGCTTGGTGGACTGTAGTCCATGGGGTCACAAAGAGTCAGAAACAACTGAGTAACTAATACACACTCTCTCTAAGACTTCACCTTCCAGTGCAGGGGACATGGGTTCAATCTGCATGCCCGCTTGCCTGGGAAGATTGTACATGCCCCAGGACAACTAAGCCTGTGTATCACAACTACTGAGACCATGCAACACCATTACTGAAGCCTGAACAACCTAGAGCCCGCGCTCCAGAACAAGAGACACCACCACAGTAAGAAGCCCACAAATTGCAACTAGAGAGTAGGCCCCTGCTCAATGCAACTTGAGAAAGCCCGTGCGCATCCATGAAGACCCAGCAAAACCAAAAATAAATAAACAGAGCATCGCTATTTTAAAAATTAAAAGGAGTCACTACTTTGAATTGAATTCTAAATTCAACTGATTTTTCCTGTCCATTTGCATCGTTTAACAATTTGTGAAATAGCCTAGGTATGTCCAAAATCAGTTGTCTCATTAAAAACAAATTAACAGATACACAGCTAAATAGCTTCCAAACATTTAGTGAATCCTCTTGATAACATTCACAAATAACATTTTGCACACAAATCCAATATTTTATTTTGAGTTTGGGCATTTCTCTGTAATTGAGAAGCTCAACTGAATTTCCCTGATTATCCCAAAGTAGTGAACATCATTCTAGGGTCAGACTCTTTCAACTCTCCTATTATACTTCCTATCTCCTGCCCTTGACACAGCTTCCCCATATGCCCTATTACTTTTCTACCAAAAATGCTATCCAAAAGAAAAAGGAGAAAAAAATTCCCCATGTCTCCATATACCCCTGCACTAGGAGGCAGGCACCCAGGAAGGAAAGTTATTTTTGGTTAGCTACCTCTAAAAGGTCTTTTTAAAATGGTCTCTGGGCACACACACAATTTTTAATTGCACATTTCAAAAGTCTCTGGCTCTTAAGAAGGCTTTTTTAAATTGCCTGGAGTCACAGGTCTGCTCACTAACCTCCTCCCCGCTACTGCAGTCCCAAGGCTGGCTGGAAGCATGACAAACTATAGTCCTGTCCCCATGGCTAAAGAAAGGCAAGGGGATTCACCGTGTGAAGTCATCTGCCAAAGCACCGGGGAGGGGATGTCAAGCGCAGCCAGGGCTTATCCTGAAAGAGTTGCCATGGCAATTACTAGATGGAAAATTGAGAACCATTCAGATAACCCCCAAATTTCCCTTTATGGGGTACGTGAATAGCAGCTATTCTTGAAGCAGAGGCTACTAAGGAAAGCTTTAAGGCAAACACATATTTCACTTAGGCAAAGACATCAATAACCATCAACTTTTCAGTGAGACACTCTCTGTCCCCTTATTAAATACTGCAATATCTGCTCCAGCATTCACAATCCCCCTTACATGCTTTATTTTTGATCTCAGCATTTATCACCATCCGACACAGGATACAGCTTACTCACTGATTGGGGGTTTTATCTCCCTCTCCCCATACCCCATTGTAGGAGAGGCACTGCACATGCTCACACATACAACACTAGAAAAAACTCCACAAGGATTTATGATTGCATGTCCAGAGTGTAAATAAAACATGGCCTGTTTCATTGTGTGTGCTCCAAAAATGTGTGCTGAATGAACTAATGAATAAGAGCACAAAGAAATGAAATTTAACGTGTCTCTGAGAAGGCTACAAGAGGTGGCTGGGTGTATTAAGTTTTTCACCCTGATTATAGCAAAGTTAGAAAATGTAAAAATGTGTCTGGCAGTTTATCTAAATGAATGTTTTAAAAAGCCATTAGCATATTTTGAGCTGAGAATGCTTTCAGCTTAAAAGAGACATGAAGAGGACTTTGAAATTACACCACTGACTTTCTGTTTCAACATTTAACTAGTGAGGGAAGATCAGAGGGTTCCACATTTATGCACATTTTATTACGTTTTATGTACAGGTAGGTCATCAGTTATTGTAGCTTTGGAGAAGAAGTGCTTTTCTATATACAAGCAGTGGAATGAGGAGCTCTCTGCTGCAGCCTTGTGGCACATGTAATTTTCTAAGACAGGCTAATTTGCTGACTAGTCACCAGTTGTAAGATCTGGTGATGTGGAAGGATCACCTGGGTAGCTTTTTAAAAATGCACTCATTTCTAGGGCCTGCCCTGGATTCACTGAATCTGGACCTTCTGGGTCTCGGCCCAAAAACATCTACTCATGAACAACCTGTAGCTGCTTGCTTCTCTGCCAAGTTGGCACTATTCTTGCAACTAGTGTTTAAATGCCATAGAACGGTGTTGCCCCAGAGTACTTCCTGTGACACAGGAAATGCTCGGTATCTGCACCATCCAATACAACAGCCGCTAGTCACAGGAGGCTCTCCTGAGCCCTTGAAACATGGCTAGTGGAAACAAGAAACTAACTTTTTTATTTTTTAAAATTGCAATTAACTTGAATTTAAAAGGTAACACGTACCCAGTAGCATCCAAACTGAATGGCATACATTAAGACGATGAGGTATCCCACAAAATAAAAAAAACACACAACAAAAGGGTTTAAGTCAGAAGTTAAACTGTTCCTAATGACCCCCAGGGTTCAAATCTGTGCTCTACTACTTCCTGGCTGTGTGTGAATGACTAAACCTCTCTCTGCCTGAGTGTCGGATGTATAAGTGGAGATAATGAGAGTGCCAACCTCACTATTTACATGATAGTTGTAAGAAGGAACGGTGACAGATAACATAGCTGAAGTGCTCAAGGAGATGCCTGACGCATAAAAAGAGCTCAATCAATGTAGGTTATTATTTTGTTGATGGTGGTGGTGAAATGGACAGGGTGAAGGAGTGACTGCAAAATCTCTGAGCATAAAGCTGGAAGCTGGAGAGATTTCCAAAGAGCAAATCTCTTTAAAGTTAACATTTTCTGAGTTGAAAAGGATACCCTCTTGATCAGAGGAAAGCTCAGTTGAGCAATGAACTCAGCTAAATTAATACCAAACAATCTAATCCTGTTAGCCACACAGCTTCTTCCTGAGAGTACTGTCAGGAACATAGACCAGGATACTTAACAGGCACACAGGGAACTCAGAGTTGTAACCTATGGTGATAAAGCCCAACTTAATGTTTCTCACAACTGTAGCTTGGAGTCAAAGAGTGTGGATTTAAACTGGCTTCTATGGTATTGGTTATACTTTGAAGATTATGATTATGCTTGAAAGACAAGAGTCAATACAGAGACTAGAAAGTTTCAAGAATGGACTATTTCCCACAGGGAGTTCAGTGAGCCTCTCCCAAACCCCAACCACTAGGGGACCCAAGAAGATTAAAAGGAGAAAAAAAAAAAAAGAAAGCGAAGAATCTGAAATAAAGTTCCTAATACAGATCAATACTGTCTGGACCCTTAACTCAGTTGGTGCACAAAGCACTTGACACTCAGACTCTGAAATGCTAAAGCTCTATAATTTATTTAATCTCTAAGACAAGCCTTTAAGGAAGCCAGGCTGTTTATCACGGATGTACATACGTTATTTCACACAATAATAAATTTAGCAGAGAGGATGAGATCTAGTTCAGGATATCCTAGAGTGGAAAAACAAAACAAAACACAATCTCATACCTCCATGGGATTTAAAGTCTGAAGTGGAAACTTGCCAGATAACTGAACTCCAATGAACACTAATTACCAACTGTTAAATTCTATAAGTGAGAAGTTTGACATGGGAAGAGTGAATAGGACAGAATCCAGCAAAAACCTTAGATGAGCAAAAGTTGGCAAAGCAAAGAGTGAGAGGAAAAGGCAGCTGCAAACGGAGAACAGCATATGCAAAGACCCTGATGTGGTGCACAGTTTCGATGATTCAAGGAATTAACAAGAGGTTCAAGCAACTAAAAAGTTAGTGTAGTTAACTTATCATGAGAGAAGGAAATAAGACAACATGAAGTTGAAGAAGGAATTTTATACTTTAAAAATACAGAGGAGCCCCCAATCCTGTTGATATTAATTTAAATATCATTATCTTCTATATTCTGTCTGTATTAAAAACATTATCACCATTAAATGGTATCAAACTATTTTATACAAGTTGATATTAATACCAATCTCAAGATAATATCAGCTGAAAGGGAAATAATTTTTCTTATGAAAATAAAAATGGAGGAATGAAAATTAGGGAAAAGGGGTATCTTACCTATCTTTTAATATCTAACACACTTATATCTTTAAAAATGTAGAGAGGAGAAAAGACAAATTTTACAGCTTTTTATTGGTTCTGTAACATACTCCCCAACATTATTAAATATGATGCTTATTCTACTTTTTTTTTACTTTTTTATTTAAAAGAAAAAAGCTAAAGAAAAAAAATCCCCAAATCTTTTTTATCCTTTAAAAGTAATGAGGCCTGAAAGTAGCAAGATTCTGAGTTTCCAATTTTCTGTAATGAATCTCAGTAGGGATGCATACTATTTGTGAATGTAAATAAGTGAGAACCAATGAAACATTGTAAAACATGCATGAATGCCCAAACTGCAACAGGAACTGAGGTTAGAGTGTATAACACAGTAATATCAAACCATTTTACAAGAAAATCTTAGTCAAAAGCAAATACACTGACCAGAATCTTGAAACATGTAGTGCTGAATTTTCAATGTATCTTATTTAACACAGTATTAAATGTGTGTGTTCTCTAAATTTAGGGTTCACAACTCAACATGATTTTGCACACCACCCCCCACTCCCAGCAGCATTTGGCAACATCTGGAGACAGTTTTGTTTGTCACACTGGGAGAGGGTTTCTCCTGGCACTGAGTGGGTAGAGGCTGGGGACACTGCTCATTCCCTACCACATATACAAGTCAGCCCCACAACAAAGAACTGTCTTGGAACAATCCTTTGGAAAAATCTAGGAATTCACAGATTTCATGTTTTAAAGTTTCTTTAAAAACATTAAACTTCTGAGCCAAACTAGGATGCAATTATAAAAACACTTTACCCTGAAGTGGAGCTTCTCTGGCTGGCTCCGGATTACTTGGGGGGTGGTTTGGAATAGCAGGAGGCACAAGCGATGAATGATCTTCTGTCCATTCTACAATACAAACAAGAAACAGTTTACTGTTTTCCTTCCAATCACTGGTCACCTTACTTAGGATTAGCCACCTTCATTTTAAAACTATCCAAACCAATAAAACCAGAAGCAGAGAGCTTCACTTGAAAAGAAACTGGTATCTGATGCTATTCTATACAGGGCTTCCCAGGTGGCACTAGTGGTAAAGAACCCTCCTGCCAATGCAGGAGACCTAAGAGCTGTGGGTTCGATCCCTGGATCAGGAAGATCCCCTAGAGGAGGGCACTGGCAACCTGCTCCTGTATTCCTGTGTGGAGAATCCCATGGACAGAGGAGCCTGGAAGGCTGCAGCCCATAGGGTTGCACAGAATAGGACACCACTTAGCACACCCACTCTATGTTAAGGTCCCTCCCTGGTTTGTGTGTTTATGTCTCTTTCTCCTAAGACCTCTGAGGCCAGAAAAAAAACCAATAAAAGAACAACCAATAAAATCTCCAGTTCTCTCTGGCTGCAGTGTTCAAAGTGAGATCAAGTAAAAAAATATCAGAAAAGATACACAGTAAACTAAAGCAGGCCCAATGAGGCAGAAACTTCTCTAATTCATCTGAGACTTGGCTGGGCTGCTGAAGTCTGCTTGGCTGAGGCAGTAAAGGTAGGTTTCAGGAGTTTGGTAAGGTGCTGGCCCCTATCATCTCTCAAACCCGAAGGGGACCCATTACTAAAATCCCTGAGTCCTAACTAGTCTAAGTGAACTAAGTGTAGTCTTGTTCACTTTAAAGACCAAGAAATAACTCACTGAGAATGAATCTTAAGATTTATCCCCAGTTCACCTTTCCAGCTAAGCTAACACAGTCAATTGTGTATATATAGTCAATTTTACACTCATTTTTCAATTTTACATTTTCATTCCCCAAATTCATGAAAATATTTAAAAAATTTTTTAAATAGAAAAGAGATTAAGGTAGAAAGGAGAACTTTTCAATAGCTGAGTGTGCGCACGCACGCACACACACAGATACATACAAACACACTCTCTAAAATACAGTCTATGGCTTACAGGCCAAACTGGCCCCCGTGCCTATTTTTATAAAGCTTGTAAGAATGTTTTCACACATTTTTAAATGATTAAGAAGAATATTTTGTTGACATATAAACTACATGACACTCAAATTTCAGTGTTCAGTGTTTCAGCCACATATATTTGTTTACAGTCTATAACATATTTCATACCATAAGGGCAGAGATAATAGATGCCGTATGAATAACAAAGCCTAAAGTGTTTATTATCTGATCACTTACAAAAAACGTTTGCCAACTCCATGCTGTGGTCTATATTTATTCAGTTTAATATATAATAAGAGAAGTACTGAATTTTATATTCATATTTTACATTGAAGGAGCAGTAAACCTAATATTTTTAAAGACCGCAATGAAAAATGAAGAAAAATCTAAGCATCTGCTAATAAACAGAGGGCTAAATGAAGTAAAGAGATTCATAAAAGGAATATTATGCAGTCATTAAAAATCCCAAGGTAAATCTATATTAAGCAGCCTTGAAAATGTGCAAGAAATAACTGAGAAAAATAGGTCATAAAACTAATATGTATGTAAATACAGAATGTATTCATATACATAAATTATGACCTGGTGTTTGTTAAAATCTGCATATTTGTACATCCCCAGAAAATTTCTGCACATTGCTTATTGCTGAGAAGAGAATGGGAACCAGCAGGGGAGATGTAAATGTTCTCCACTTCTGAACTGTTCATGCTTTTGTGAAGAACATGAAGTAACTTTTAATTTTTTAAGAGCACTGAAAATTACCAGGTTTTTCTGATGCCTATATGCCTACAATTAAAAGTTAGTTCCATACCCTGCACATCTTCTTAAAGAACTAGCAGTGGTTTGGATTTATATATCACGTGCTGTGCAAAAGCTCCCGGAACAAGGGAATTCTGTCACCATCAGAAATGTTCTCCAATCTAACAACAGCCCCTTTCTAAGTGATAGTGGAGATTGGGTGCTTTTAAACTGGGCCCCCCACTTTAGCTGTCTGCGTTCACGGTGTGGACTCTAGCAGAGGTTCTGCATCACTCCCCAGGCTTCCAGGACACTGAGTTCCTAGCACCACACAGGACGTGATTCTCGCGGCCACTTTTGACCACACGGGGGTGTCAGTGCCCAGGCTTCGCCTGGCGCTCCGGGCCCACAGAGAGAGGAAAAGCCAACCTTCTGGCTGCGGCTGCTGCTGCTGCTGCTGCTGCTCCAACTGCTTCTTCCGTTTGGCTTCTAGAACCGGGTTCTCATACTGTGTCTTCCTGTTGATGTGGCTGGAGCAGAAGCATATCGCACTCAGTTAGGAAACATTTTGTCCCACAAGCAAAATGCCAATCAGGCCAAGTTCCCTTGATTGGACCTGCACAAAGCAGGTGGTTGAGCATGTTGTGTAAAAAACCACAGTTAGGAAGATACAATAAAAATGAAAATGAATGGTTTCCACATACTGACTGCTTATCTGTATCAAGTGTTGTACAATCAATTTTACATGTGTTTTATTTTAAAAATCTTCAGTAAATGCCAAGATGAAGGTCCCTATTGTTGTTATTTTGTGGATAAGGAAAATAAATTTCTGAGCAGTTAAGTACCAGCTGACCTAACAGAACAGAGCTAGTCAACACTAAGGAGGCTTCAAGCTCAGCATGGCCAGCTTTCAAGTCCCAGGACTGTAACCACCGATTCTCCCAAATGCCCAAAGAATCACGTGACAAAGAATGTTTCTTTAATTTAACAAGAAGTCAGTTACAGAATTATTTTAAAATGGAGTTGAAAGTGGAGATGTGGTGTTGTCTGTAACATGTAATGCCAGAAACTGTGTGTAACTTTCTATAATACAGTTTATGGAACCATAAGCACCCTGCCCCCTAAAGATCAAGTTAAAAGAAGGACTCTACCAACATCTGTCAACTATTTTGATCAACAGGCATGGAGTCAGGATTCAAAGTGTAAGCCCTAGGCAAAAAGATTCCAAATGCAGCTAACCTAAGCAATGTGATGTGTTCAAAGTGACAAAGACCCAGATACTTCAGATGGCTCCAAAACGAATAAGGCCAAGGAAACATAAAAATACACACATATATACATACAAACATATATATGAATCCAAAGCATTATTTTTTTTGCCATTGTTATTCAGTGTATGCATATGTAGGCTTCTCTGTTGGCTTAGCAGTAAAGAATTCATCTGCCAATGCAGGAGACCTGGGCTTGATCCCTGGGTCAGAAAGATCCCCTGGAGAAGGACATGGCAACCTACACCACTATTCTTGCCTGGGAACTCCCATGGACAGAGGAGCCTGGCAGGTTACAGTCCATGTGGACACAAAAGAGTCAGACACAACTGAGCAACTAAAGAACAATTATGATATGTGTATATGTATATATACACATATTACATCAACACATATATATACAAGCCTATACATATTCTCATCTTTTTTACTTCATCAAAATCATATTTCATAAGAAGTTTAGAAATATTCCTACTTTGTGATCATTTAGAACTCAAAATACTGTTTTCAAGCCAGGCTTTATTTTTTTTTCTTTTTCATTTATTTTTATTAGTTGGAGGCTAATTACTTTACAATATTGTAGTGGTTTTTGTCATACATTGACATGATTAGCCATGGATTTACATGTATTCCCCATCCCGATCCCCCCTCCCACCTCCCTCTCCACCTGATCCCTCTGGGTCTTCCCAGTGCAGCAGGCCCGAGCACTTGTCTCATGCATCCAACCTGGGCTGGTGATCTGTTTCACCCTAGATAATATACATGTTTCGAAGCTGTTCTCTTGAAACATCCCACCCTCGCCTTCTCCCACAGAGTCCAAAAGTCTGTTCTATACATCTGTGTCTCTTTTTTTGTTTTGCATATAGGGTTATCGTTACTATCTTCTAAATTCCATATATATGTGTTAGTATACTGTAATGGTCTTTATCTTTTTTCAAGCCAGGCTTTATTTTTTAACAGCTTTCCTGGAGGTTCAGTTGCTAAAGAATCCACCTGCAATGCAGGAGACCTGGGTTCGATCCCTGGGTTGGGAAGATCCCCTGGAGAAGGGAATGGCTACCTTCTGGTACTGGAGAATTTAGAAAGTTTAAATGAATAAATACGTTATCACTGAGAATCTCAGACCTGAGCAGGGCAAAATAATAGGCAAAACTGATCCTCTTCCTGAAGATAAACAACTCATACTCAAATGGTCTATTGAGTAGTTGCTTTTTGCATTCATTTAAATAATACCTATTATTAAGTACCTGCCATAGACCAGGACTATATTTGGCTCTGGCAATACCGTAGTAAACAGGAGACATGTTGCCCTCAGGGATTTTATTATATATCAACATCAGATTTGCTGAATATTTTCTTATTCATTAAACTATTTTTTCATTTTAAAATTAATATAATGTTACTATTACTACTTGTTTTTACCTTATCACAATGGCAAATTCTATTCAGCATAAATGTACATAATTACAGAAGAATGCAAACTAAAATGTGTCTTAATAGGCACTTACTCTACATAGTAGATACCATAGACAGGGTCTTCAATCTTTTCCCAACCAGCAGGCAGTTCTGAAAAATAAAAGAACATTCAGAGCAAGAAGAAGATATTCCTGAAGAGCCTAGAGATTTTTAACAACCAATTCAGGCCAAAAAAAAAAAAAAGAGTCACAAAAATACTGTCTAAAGTCCAATCAATGTCCAAATAAAAACTGTCTAAAGTCCAATTAAAAAGTGAGCATTATTTTATCAGTGTTTTTCTACACAAAGAGCAATTGTTTACTGATATTTTGTATAAGCAAATGAAACTTAATATAATGCAGCCTTAGGTGCCTTCATTCTAAATCAACTATTAAATTAGATTTTAATGAAAATATATTTAAATTTTGCCTTGAATGCCTGGTTCCCATACTAAATATCTACAGTGTTCTCATTCTATTGCGAGACTGCCTTACCGCACAAGCAAAAATGGATGAAAATAAATGTTCCTTTTCATTTTCAAGTCCCATTTTTGTTCTCCCTAGAATACATTAAAATTTGCATCTAATTTTCTCCTTGTTCCTAATCAAAATGCTACCAAGTAAATAAAAATGCCCACCTGGAGTTGAGTTCTTGAGTTGTACACACCTATCACTCAACTGGCTACATCTGGACAGGCCCAAATCTTCACCAGGCTGTGCCTATGAAAGCAGAAACATCGGTCCTGCTCTCCAAAAACTCCACATAACTGGGTAGACTTCATTCCTTTAAATGTGGTGGTAAAACGGCACTGGGGAATATACATGCCTTTCCGAAAACTCATCTGTGCTCTACTGAACTTCATAAAGTTTCACATTAAAAGTTGCTACTTTGTTAACGAGGTAACAGAGGGTTCTGTCATAACAAGTGCCTATTTCCAAAAGTCCACTGCACCAGATAACTGGGTGAAAGAGCAACTGTGTTGTATTTTGTGTCACTAGACAACTCTTCAGGCAGAGCTGCAATTCTCAACTTAATTTCAAAGCCACCCTGCTCTGTGCATAGTTAAGGCAAGGTGGTATAAAGTGTTGTACTCCAAAGTGAACCTTTATTCCTAGAAGGCCGCATTAAGATTGACTTGAACATTACACTTGATTGAAAAAAAAAAGACTTAAAAAAAAAAAATCAATGATTTTGTGGTCACCATTTGAAAATAGTGACCATTTCATCAGAGCTTAGGTTTTCCATAAGACACAAACAGTTCTACCCTAAAATGGAGTCAGGTGCATGCACGTACACACATGTGCAGACACACACAGACACACACAGGCTAATTACTCAAAGTTTACATTTTGCTCAGATTTGGCTGCACATCAAGAGACATTAATTTTATGGTTTTTGCTCCACATGTCATTTGTTTGCAAACAGAGACATGTTTTCCCCTCCCTCTTTCTTCATGGGGGTGGGGAACACTTAGCAGGTTTTAAAGAAGTCTTTGAATACTGGGAGACATAGCTACTAAAATGCAAGGCAGGTCCAATGTGCAGATGTTGACACAACTTGGCTTTTTTATACCCAACGTCTTGTGAACTGATGCAAATCAAATGCCTGGGAAATGCTTTCCCCTTACAATGCTGGAAATTACCATTTAAATGAAAACGAACCAGGAAAAATATTTCCAAAGAGCTGGGAAATCTGAAGATTAGAAAAATGCAAATTGGTGCCCAGGCATATGTTTGTGCTGGCACAGGCAGAAGAGTGAGTGGGTATTAGGGGACTGCACCTTGTTTAATGAACAAAACTTCTTTTCAAATTCGTCAGCCTTAATATATGACCTAGGGACTTCCTTGGCAGTCCAGTGGTTAAGACTTTGCCTCCCAGTGCAGAGGGTCCGAGTTCTTAAAAAGATATATATGGCCTGGTCCTCTTTGGCTAACATAGGGAAAAAATTAAGAATTCAATTCATCCCATTACTTGTCAAACATCTGTTGAGTGCTGGACACCAAGGACACAAAGTGAATAACAAGGGCACCGTTCGGGCAGACAATTCAAATATGGCACAGTGAGTGCTCTGACGGAGGTCCAAGAGGGCTTCAAGAGAAGAAGCCACCTTTGACTTAGCCATGTCACCTACTCCACAATTTACATACTAGGGCTGAGACACAAGGGTGGTCAACTGGTATTTCTGGACATTTGTTCTTCTGGGGCAGATGAACAAACTCCAGAAATGGTCCAGTTTCTCAAAATAAAACTCATTTAACATTGAAAAGATAGATATCTCACTTCCAATGCGGTGATTAACTTAATAATAGGAATTCACTTCCGAAAGCTTAAAATAGAAATTGCTCATCAATTTGTCTCGCAGTGTGCCATTTGGTTCTAAAAAGTTGAAAATGGCAGAAAACACTGAAGCCTAGAAAATGATGACATTAAATTTTTTTTCTTACTCTAAAGGTACTTAAGAGAGCCATACCCTCGTGTCTAACAACTGTCAGACCTCAGACCAGTCTGGACAAGATGTCACTGGGACTGAAGGTGGTGAAGACCCTTTTGGGGTTGTCCAGATCTAAGGTATGAACCTTAGCCATACTGGTTTTTATCTGCCTCGTGTTCAGCTACTTACAAACCTTGAAACCACACCTCTCCCCTAGATTTACCTCGAAGGTCAAATGTAGATTAAATAAAGTTTGAAAACCTTTTACATAGTACCTGGCACCTAAGCTTAGCTAATGGCAATTTTAAGAAAGCCCAAAAGAAGTAGGACAGATTCACATGGCCTGTTAGCTTGCTGTCCCTACCACTAAAAAATTCACGCTGTACTAATCATCACCATGGAAGCAAATATGGAGCAGACAAATGTTCCCAGAGTTTTGTCAACACACAGATTAAAAGTCATGTTCACAAACAGAGATAAATTTCTAAACTGTGATTCAGTGTTGGCTGGGAGGGGACCTCATTTCTCTGTCTCTGCCTCCTAATTGGCTGCAGCACATGAATACTCTGCAATTCAAAAAGAAGCTTCTTCAAGTGCTTTTTGATTCTGGGGAGTTTACTGCAGAAGATGTGATAAATTCTGCAAACCCAAAGTGTGTAATGGAGCTACCGATTCAGTACAAACAACACAGCTCAGAAAAGACAACTCTGTAAGCAAATGATGAAGGTCCAACACCCAAACGCACCACCCCTACTTCTCAGGGGCAGATTATAGAGAGGGTGTCCTTGTCACATCTAGAATCACATTTTTCAATGAAAACTCTGACAGTTGCTATTGTCTGAAATTAGGATCCTCTTATTAAGAAAATGTACACAACTCTTTATACAGAGGACACATACAGACAAAAACCAGGGAGTCCTGTCTCTAAGCACACACATTTGGGCCAACTCTGTAGTATACATGTTGCTCTCCTGTCCCATATTAAACACAAGGAAGAACCAAAATGTCCCACAGGGAAGAACTGGTTAATAAATCAGAAAATTGGCAAAAACAATGTGATCACAGGGACAAATATATATTAAGATACAATATCATTAAGTCTTCTCTTAAGCCCCATGGGAGCTCGTCTTAGGTTAGGAACAGGAAGCTAAGAGAAGGTGAATGATTTCCACAAGGTCACAGAGTCAGTAAGTGGGAGAGCCCAGAAATGAAGCCAGGCAATGTGCCTTGACCCCAGAGACAGCTTCCGCTTTATCAAACCATCTCCCAGAACTGTGAATCTGATCATGAAAAGGGATACTATACAGCCAGTAAAACTTACTTTGCAGAGTCTTTAACAGCACAGGAATGTTTCCACAATGTTACAGGTACACCAAAAAAGAGGACAATTGATTTTTCCCTAAAAATTTCAACATTCAAGCTTCTATAGAAGCAAATAAGGCTGTACCCCTGTGCACAGGGGAATTATCTCACCAGCCAGCTACACGTGGTGTTGGGCACTCACACACATTAGTCAGGTGGCCAGGGGCTAGAGTCCATGGAGTTGCAAAGAGTCAGACACGACTGAGCACACACAGAGTAGTTTAAACTGGTTTCACAAAGGATTGAGGCACTCGTTTTTCATCTGGAAAACCTAGTTCTGTCTTTTTCAACAATCATTAATATCACTAGATTAACATTTTTTTTAATTTACAAAATGAGTTTCTAATTTTTCTATTACACAGGCCGAATCTCAAATCATTCCTACCACAATGACAACTTACTGTATGTCTTTAAAAATATATCTTTCAACAGTTATTGACCACTGCTGACATATCCACCAATAACAACAGGATATATTCCAAACATTAACAAAAATAGAGCAAGATTCTCTTATATCCTGAGCCAACCATGATAAATCATCTTTACTTAGATAATAAAAACAAATAAAACTGAACAAAAACCAATAATCTGTATTAAATATTTATATTATCAGTTTTTAAGGCAAACTTAAAAATGCTAGTTTGATTGAATAATCTCAGGGCAGTTCTATTCATATTGATGTTAAATAATCTTGTTTTTAAAATATATTATTGTCAATTTTCAATCAGCCAAGGCTTTCAAGTGCCATTTAGCCAAAACTTGTGCTTTCCCATCTATCGTTTCATAGATGCATCAGATGGAAAGCAAACTAATTTTAATACTGTTCAAAGATGAACATTAAACATTTAACTTACCAGGGAACATAATTCAATATGTTCCAACAGCAAAGATAAAAGACTTTGGCATTATCAGCTAATGTAAATTATTCCCAAACTGCAAGAACTCAGAGTAATCAAGACTTGATTTCTACTGACATACACATTCAAAGGAAAATAACACAGAAACCCGGCATCTGGTTTTCAAGCCATTCACTACAGTTACAAAGTCAACAAGTAGCCTATGACGAACAATATAATACTAGGACTTAGCAACCATTCAGTTATCAGTGGAACTGTTGTACTGCTGTTACTCTCCCTACGATCTTTCAATTAGTCTGGTAGATTTTTGTTTGTTTCGCTTTTCTATATTCCCAATGGAGAAAACCACTCATATCAAATAAAGAATTGAGACCGAGATAGACTATAGGAGAGTTCAGGGGACATGGCAAGCATCTATCCCTCAGTTTTCTCTTAATCCTTAATTTATGAGAGTACTGATCTGCTAACTCTCATTCTAGTCCCAATTCCCTCAGACTTTTTCTTTGTAGACACAATTTATCACAACTCTGTATGATGTCTGCAGTCAGACACATGGGTTGTATACAACTGACCTTTTGTGGCTAAGCCGGAATGAAAATCATAATTGAAGAAGTGCAAACTAAAGAAACACAGGGATTAAGCAAGTCACTGGAAACCAAAGCATCCAGAGCAAGTCATGCAGGCTGGGAGAGTTTACCTAGTTCACTGTCCAGCTCCTCCGTATGGATCCCTTCTTCTCCAAAGGAATAGCAGGAATGAGACAGAAAAGAGAGAAAGAAAAATTCAGACACCAGCACCAAGGAAAGAAACTCCCTTCAAGAAAAACAGCAAACACATCACTTTATTATGTCCTTACCTGCATTGTGGCTTATTTCATTGGCTTGGCTACTCAACTCAGACCTCAGTGTAAATCACAAAACGGGAAGAGCTGATATTGGCAACATAATTACATGGCTCATTTCCTTGTGTGTCAAAATAAGGTTTGACTGGTTGTAAAAGATGACAAACACCTTTGCGGTTTTTGGTGTTCTTACTTGGAAAGTCACTTATTACAGACCTTATTTCGAGCAAACAAAGCTGCTAGACCTTTCAATATTAGTCCTTTTAATCCTTCTATGATCCTCTAATCTGCAAGGCAATTACACTCACAATTAAAAAATTACTTAACCTATAATACTGCTGCCTGAAAAACGGAAGGTGAGGTCAAATTGAGAACACAGATTCTAAGATAAGCTACACTGTCTTTCAAAAGGAGTTAGAAAAATGAACTATGTCAGGATGATGTACATCGGGAGGTGAGGCTTGAAGGCTGCCCTGAAAGGACGATTGGAAAGCAGAGTTTACTTTGTTTAAGATTTCTAAGTCAAGCAGCTCAGAAATATTAGAATGAAAATGTTCTCTGTAATTTCAGTAAGCAAAACAAGTCAAGATCCTTTTCACTCCTGACCACCTCTTGCTGTCAGTTAAACATTTGTTATGACTGCAAAGAGAATATAGGACACCATACAACAAATCACTTCATACACAGTTATGGTTGTCCCCTCCACCATAAGCTAAACAAACACATGGATCAAGTCCGCTTTCACTACTTCAGTGCTCAGTGCCCACTGGAGCTTTGGATATATGACAGGTACCAAATATTTTTCAAATGGATGAGAAAACAGACAAATGAATTGATTATTGACTTTAGTCACCAACTGCCAACAATAAAGTAATAAGGTTGACACCGGCACTGGTTCCCTAAGGAGGGAATCTTATTTACATAAAATCTTTCATGAAAATGCCCATTAGGATATTATTTAAAATATCTTTTGGGGCACTCATTCATTCCCTTAAAAATTCTTTAATGAGATTTACTATGTGCAAGTCCCTGAGCCATCATCTGAACATTATGTAAAATTTAATGAAAAGAGTTAGAGTGAAAAATGGCTAGAATTTAAGCTTGGCTAGAGTGGGGCTTCTTGTTTATTGTGTTCAATGATACAACTGACTTTCCCAGAATGCACCTGACATACAAAAAACATTCAACAATTATTTGTGGAATGTAAGAGCATTCTAAGAAGGGAGAACTGCACATCTAACTATCACAGAGCAGGAGGAACTCAATGTGGACTGGGGGTGATGGACAGAATGTGCGATGGAAGTAGAGTCAGACAAGCTCAGAGGGTGAACTGCAGAGAACTTGGAAAGACAAGCTTTGAACCTGGCATTCACTCAACAGACCAGAGAGCTACAATATTAAACAGGGCTTGAGGCAGTGGTGATAACGCAAACACATTTTAACAGACTGCTCTTAATACAGTGCAAGAAGGAGAGTGGGCAAGAGTGTGGGTGGAAGATGAGCATAACCTTGACTAGGATGGTATACATGGTGAGGAAAACGGAGAATGAATTCCAAAGATATCTGGGAGGCAAGGTGAACTCAGCTGGTAGCAAATGGATTAGAAATGGGTGTTAAGAAAAATAAAAGGTCAAGAGAGACTCTTAAGTATGCAAGAATTTACCATTCACTTAGACAGGGAATACTTTTAGAAGACCAGATTTGGGTTGATGGGAATCATTAGTTGGGTTTTAATCAGAATGAATCTAAACTCTCTTTAGGACAAAAAGCATTATTAAATATTAAAATACTGGCCTGGAGCTCACAAACAAGGGAAAAATCTAATTGAACTACTAAAACACAGAAATCACAATAAAGGTTATACGCTGAATATCAAAATCCCAAATTAGTTTCTGCTTTTTTGAGATAGGAAAAAGAAAACAGAAAAATTTCTACAATAATGTTATACTGTTACATTCAACATGCATGTGACCTACAGAGAGCAGAAACACACACAGGAACAGTATTGTAAAAGAACAATGTGACTCTTCTTTGTGACGTGATATAAACAGCACAAGACAGTGTTATGGTAATTGGCAGGAGAAAAGGCAGATACGGATACTTGCCACTGTGGTAGAATCTGCTTGTATATACTTAAACCATTTATGGTTTTACAGGCATACAGACATACATATAGTTTCCACCAGAAAAAGAATGTATGAATTCTAATGGTGAAGCGACAATCACTAATTGAACTGCATTGGATATGAATATATACTTGTCCCAGAGGGAATAATGTTCACTCCAGTGACATGAACTCTAAGAATTAAAAATTATTAGAGAGGCTAAAAAAAAATCTCAGTAATTCTATCAACATTTTCACTCCATTTTTCACAGTAAAAGTTATTGGAGTCTTCTATTATCTATCAAATTATACTAACAGGCATTTTCATACATTCCTACTATAATTATAATGGATAGTGAAACTGAAGATCTGATGGTAATAAGAGGACCTAAAATAGCTTTGAAATCTCAGGCATCAAATGAAGATTACATTCCGTTCCAAGAAGTTTTATGGTTGGATGTATTTTATGTTCTTATCTTTGAAAACTGGTCACTTCTGTATCACATATTAAATAGAATATGTGAATAATCATGATAGCCCATTATCCTTAAGGATGCAAAATAATGCATTTGCCCATGCCTGTTTCTTTTCTTCTTTATGACTAAGCAATCAAAATAAAATGAGTCTCTCAGTTATGCCTCCTCAGTCAGGATTTGTATTTCCACTTGAAGTTACTCAGATAAACGTGAACACACAATTCTATGTTCATTTCATGCAATCTTACAATCCACATATATCCTGTAGTTTAAAGCTCTCACAGGATCATACTTCACTGGCTTATATTTTCAAACAAACATCAAGTTTAAACAGACAATAATTCTGCCTCATAGAATAAATTAATAAAGTTTCACTAACTTACAGTAAAATGTATATTCAATAATTATACTACTAATTCAAATGCCAGGAATGAATAATGAGTAGTAAAGCAAGCCAGTTCCCTTTTAATTTGTCCGTGTCAAAAAGCAATTTTGGTAAAACTTAGGGCAAATCAAAAATGAACACACTTGTTCAACCTTAATTTCTTTTCCACTTTTGCAAAAGTAACTAGAAATTACAAAGCCTTGGATTAGACTTTATTGACAGCGGAACCTTTTTTTGTTACATTAACAGAAATAGTGAGGCTGAGGGTAACACCTCAGCCTCTTCTGTGGAAGAATGTACTTTCTCATATTTAGGATACATTCTAAATCACACAGAGATCCCCAAACATAATAAGATCTGCTTTCTTTATGCTAAACCTGGAGAAATACTCAAATTATGAAGCATGAACACTTCAAGAAAAGTTTCTAGTATTTTTTTCTCGAACACTGTCACAATATATGATTGCGGTTCAGAACGTAAGTGACCAAAGCATTTTTGGTTTCTAAATTCCTAGAGACTTTCTAGAGTTTTCTCCAAGTTCCTGAAGGGCTTAGGTTGCACCTACATCTGAATCCTTCCTGACTGTGCTGCAGTTCTGTTTCTAATAGAGAGTTGAGTACGTCTTTATGTTTAAACAAACTGTTCTTCTAAAACAATTTTACAGATTTCTCTCCTGCTTTTGGAAACCATAATGCACTTACTAGAAACTGGATTATCTTTCAAAAACTCTTTGTTAGAAACCTGGTTGACCATGCTACAACTCTTTAAACTTCGCATGTGGGACTTCCCTGGCAGTTAAGATTCTGCAATGCCACTGCAAGGGGCACAGGTTCAATCTGGTTGGTGAACTAAGATCCCGCATGCCACACAGTACAGCAAAAGAATAAAAAATAAAATAAAATTTCCATGTGTGAACAAGCCCACTTAAACTCAGACTTTCTTAGCCCCTTACCATCATCTTCACACTCTTCCAGAGGCTTCTGCTGCTTGTTCAGGCACCGAGGGTCTAACCAAGATGTTGTTTTTGTGTTGTGGCTGAAATTCAGAAATAAGAAATATGTTTGAAAGGGTGGGAAGGGGGGAATGTAAAAACTCAATGACAAAAGATTTAAACAGTCTTGAATATTTATTCTTCACTAAAGCAAAGATACTGTCTAACAGTCAACTGAGGGCAAAAGAGAGCCCTGGAATAAAGAGAAGCTTGGAGAGGCTGGACATGAAACCCTACTTCCTGCAGGAGGGTCGAGCCCAACCGGAGATGAAGTGTTTCATTAGACACTGTTGCCCTTCGATCATGAGAGAAATGAGAGGCAAATGACTGGGCTGATTGACCTGAAGCAGATCTGGGACAAAATTCTGCTTGAGCAATCAGTCCATTTTATGCAAACTAAATAAGAGGATCAAAGAGCTACAAGTCCAATAGTTCAAGCTGCAAACCAAAAATGAAACACACACAAAAAAATTTTCCGCAAGTGTAGGTAGTAAAGTCTTAAGTTTAAGTTGTACTAATAAGTATTTTGAAAAAATTGTCACAGTTTTTAATTCTAGATTCAAATCTTATTAATTGATGGGAAAAACTTAAGGCTTAGGTGAAAAACAGAATATGCAAAAGCCTACAAACCTTGTCTAAAATGTGTTCAAATAAAATAAAACCAATGAAAGGTAATACTGCTACAAGTATCACAACAAACAATACTTACTTGTACATGTAGAACTATCCTGTCTAACCTATCCTAATTTTGCGAGTCATGCATGCTTTTGCAGGCATGTAGTTCAGCTGGTAAAGAATCTGCCTGTAGTGCAGGAGACCACGGTTTGATTCCTGGGTCAGGAAGATCCCCTGGAGAAGGGATGGCTACCTACTCTAGTATTCTAGGGCTTCCCTTGTGGCTCAGCTGGTAAAAAATCCACCTGCAATGAGGGAGACCTGGGTTCGATCCCTGGGTTGGGAAGATCCCCGGGTTGGGAACATCCCCTGGAGAAGGGAAAGGCTACCCACTCCAGTATTCTGGCCTGGAGAATTCCATGGATTGTATAGTCCATGGGTTTGCAAAGAGTCGGACACGACTGAGCGACTTTCACTTTCACTAAGAATTTGGGGGTTTTATCCTTAGAACAAAGAGAACTTTCTGAAGGTTTTAAGCACCAGTGTAGTTGGGGGATGGAAGGTGGGGAGTGGAGAAGAAACTGGAGGGTATATCTGGGAAGGGTATGTGGAGAATATACAAGACCAGTGTTCAGAACAGTTTGGACCTGGAGATGAAGGAAGAGAAATAACTGGCCCAGAGAAAAACAGGGTATAACCCAGGGCCTGGCTGAGATGCCTGCAGGAAAGACTGTGCAGAGACAGAGCTCTTGCGAGATGGGGTCCAGTCAGCAAAGAAGGCTGAGGGGGAAGAGACAGGGAGCTGGGGGACCATCAGGAAGTTATTATCTTTATCATGAAGCAGGACCTATAGAATAACCAAAAGCCCAATTAAAACTATCTTAACCTGCTTTGTCATTTACATATAGATTACAATTTACTTAATCCCTACCAAGAACCCTATGAGAGGAGTATCATTAGTATTAAAATGATTACTCCCTATTTTCCAAATGAGAAAACTGAGGACAGAGATGTGAAGAAACCTGAAAAGGACACCCTGCTGACACACAGAATCAAATCCAAGGAGTCCCACACTAGAAACCATGGTCTGTGCTATTCTTACACAATAAGAGAGCAAAAATGGAGAATGACGGGAGGGAAGATTAGGTGTGATATTTTTAAAAAACACTTATATCTCAAGATAATTGTAGATTCACATGCAGTTGTAAGAATGAACAAAGAGAGATCCTACATTCACCCTACCAAGATACCACCAAAGGTAACATCTTGCAGAACTATAGTACAAAGTCACAACTGGGATACTGACAGCCAAACAGTCAATATATGGAACACTTCCATCATCACAGGATCCCTCATGTTGCCCTTTGATAGCCACACTTGGTTCCCTTCCAACCCTTACCTACAAAAAAACCCACTGCTAATCCCTGGCAACCACTAATCTGTTCTCCACTTCTATACTTTTGTCATACCAAAAATGTTATATAAATGAAATCACATGGTATCTAATCTTTGGGGATTTGCATTTTTTATTCAGCATAACTCTCCTCAAGATTGTTGCATACATCAGTAACTGTTGTTATTGTCAGTAGTATTTCATGGCATGAATGTACTACAGTTTAACCACTGAAGGACACCTGGGTGGCTTCTAGCTTTGGGTTATTTAGAAGAAAACCTATTATAAACAGGCTTCCCTGGTGGCTCAGCTGATAAAGAATCTGCCTGCAATATGGGAGACCTGGGTTCGAACCCTGGTTGGGAAGATCCCCTGGAGAAGAGAAGGACATCCACTGGATCATAGAAAAAGTAAGAGAATTCCAGAAAAACATCTACTTCTGCTTCACTGACTCTACTAAAGCCTTTGACTGTGGGGATCACAACAAACTGCAGAAAATTCTTAGAGAGATGGGAATACCAGACCACCTAACCTTCCTCCTGAGAAATCTGTATGCAGGACAAGAAGCAACAGTTAGAATTGGACATGGAACAATGGACTGGTTCCAAATTGGGAAAGGAGTAAGTCAACACTATATACTGTCACTGTGCTTATTTAATTTATATGCATAGAACATTATGCGAAATGCCAGGCTGGATGAAGCACAAGCTGGAATCAAGATTGCTGGGAGAAATATCAATAACCTCAGACATGCAAATGATGCCACCCTTATGGCAGAAAGCAATGAGAAACTAAAGAGCCTCTTGATGAAAGTGAAACAGGAGAGTGAAAAGGCTGGCTTAAAACTCAACATGCGAAAAACAAAGATTATGGCATCCGGTCCCATCACTTCATGGCAAATAGATGCAGAAAGAATGGAAACAGTGAGAGACTTTATTTTCTTGGGCTCCAAAATCAAAGAAGAAGGTGACTGCAGCCATGAAATTAAAAGACACTTGCTCCTTGAAAGAAAAGCTATGACCAACCTAGACAGTATATTAAAAAGCAGAGACATTACCGACAAAGGTTCGTCTAGTCAAAGCTCGTTTTTCCAGTAATCATGTATGGATGTGTGAGTTGGACCATAAAGAAAGCTGAGCACCAAAGAATTGATGCTTTTGAACTGTGGTGTTGGAGAAGACTCTTAAAGAGTCCCTTGAACTGCAAGGAGATCAAACCAGTCAATTCTAAAGGAAATCAGTGCTGAGTATTCATTGAAAGGACTGATACTGAAGCTCCAATACTTTGGCCACCTGATGTGAAGAACTGACTCACTGGAAAAGACCCTCTTGCTGGGAAAGACTGAAGGCAGGAGGAGAAGGGACGACAGAGGATAAGATTGTTGGACGGCATCACCGATTCGATGGACACGAGTTTGAGCAAGCACCAGGAGTTGGTGATGGACAGGGAAACCTGGTGTGTTGCATGCAGTTCATGGGGTTGCAAAAAGTCAGACACAACTGAGTGACTGAACTACTATAAACATTTATGCATAAGCTTTTATGTGAATATAAGTGTTCACTTGGGTTTCCTAGATGCCCCAGTGGTAAAGAATCTGCCTGTCAATGTAGGAGACACGGGTGTGATCTCTAGTTTGGAAAGATCCCCTGGAGAAGGAAATGCCAACCCACTCCAGTATTCGTGCCTGGAAAATCCCATGGACAGAGGAGCCTGGCAGGCTACAGTTTATGGGGCTGCAAAAGAGTCAGACACAACTTAGTGACTAAACAACCACAACAAAGTATTCTCTTCTCTGGACAAATGTGCAATGGCTGGGTTCTATGGTAATTGAAATGTTTAGTTTAAAAAAATGCCAAACTGCTTTTTGGAACACCACAGAATTTTACATACCCACCAGCAACGTGTTAGTGATATAGCCTCTTGGCATCTTTACCATCATTTAGTGTTTTTTAGTTCATTCTCTAATTGGATTTTTTTTTTCTTTTTACTGTTGAGTTTTGAGAGTGGCTCAGATGGTAAAAGTATCTGCCTACAATGTGGGAGACCTGGGTTCAATCTCTGGGTCGGGAAGATCCCCTGGAGAAGGAAATGGCACCCCACTCCAGTACTCTTGCCTGGAAAATCCCACGGATGGAGAAGCCTAGTAGGCTACAATCCATGGGGTCACAAAGAATCAGACACAACTGAGCGACTTCACTTTTACATATTCTAGATACCAGTCCATTTTGAGATACAAGCTTTATAAAAACTTTTTCCCTGTGTATAGTTTGTCCTTTCATTTACTTACAAGTCTTTGCAAAGTGAAATTTTTTCATTTTGATAAACCTGAGTTGACCAATTATTCCTTTTAGGATTATGCTTTTGATGTCAAGTCTGAGAACCCGTTGCCTACTACTAGGTCTCAAAGAATTTCTACTTTTTTCCCCCTAAAAATTCTATTACTTTACATTTTATACTTTATGATAATTTATTTTGAGGTTTTTTTTTTTTTTTAATAAGGCAAGAGGTTTAGTTTCAGGTTAATTTATTTGCCTTTGGCTATAGACCAGCTTAAAGTACCATCTTATTGAAAAGGTTACCTTCCATGCATTGGACTGCTTTTGCATTCTCTACTGAAAATCACTTGGACACATTTGTGGGTTTGTTTGTGGGTTCCTTTGATCTATGGGTCTATTTCTTCATCAGTAGCATTCAACCTTTATGACTGAAAATTTATAATAAGCCTGATATCGGGCAGACTGATTACTGTGACTTTATTCTCCTTTTCAAAACTGTTTTAACTAGTCTAGTTCCTTTGCCTTTTGCTAATAAATTTTACAATAAACATGTCAATAGTAACAAAAAGCTTCACTGAGATTTTTGACAGGATTTATATTAAACCTGTACACACATTTGGGGAGAACTGACATCTTTACTATACCAATTCTGAGTCTTTTGATCCATGAATAGAGTAGGTCTCTCAATTTACTTAAACTTTCATTTATTTCTTTCATCAGTATTTTGTAGTTTACAGAATACAAATCCTGTACATATTTAATTAGGTTTATACCTAAGTGAATTTTTAAAAAAGTAAATGTAAATTATATTTCATTTTGAATTTTGTTATCTGCTTGCTCATTGTTAGTATATAGATATAGAATGCAGGATACTGAAAAACTCATCAAATAGAATATACTGTTATTGTTTAGTTGCTCAGTTGTGTCTCTTTAGTGAGCCCCTGGATTGTAGCCTGGCAGGCTCCTCTGTCCATGGAATTCCCCAGGCAAGAATACTGGAGTGGGTTGCTAGTTCCTTCTACAGGGGATTTTCCCAACCCAGCGATCGAACCTACATATCCTGCACTGGCAGGTGGAGTCTGTATCACTGAGCCATGAGGGAAGTCTAAATCATGTGCATCTAATAATTTAATGTGTATGGAATCTGACCGCTGCCGACCAAATCACAGAGTTGTCATAATAAGCTATACTTCTGCATAAATTTTCTATTAAACAATAGACCAAAGATTGGCCTAGCACTATTAAAAGCTAAACTAGGTTATAAAAAGTAAGCAAATCACCATACTCTCCTCTAAAGCACTCAAAGTCTTGGGTCTTCATTAACTATTTTTACTAACCACAGTCCTCACTAACCCTCAAAATAACCCAATTTTTTTTTCAAATTTATCAAGTCAGTCTTGAGCAAACTATTAACACATTCTTTTCCAAAAGTTTGAGTTTCATATATTACTCTGTTCTAGGAATTCCTCTGTTATTTCCCTTTGCTACATACAATTATTCCTTACTAACAGGCATAATTTAGAGGACAACTTATCACAAAAGCTAAGTACAAAATTCTAAGCTTATAGCTGACATCCATTTTCATAACATTTAAGCTCCTCTGTAATAACCACATGATGAAAATAAACATGGTAACAGTAACAATAATACTCACTAATTGGCACGAGTCCAAGTTTTACATCCTTTATCTAACTCTCACGAAAATCTGACAGGGTAGGCATGATCAATAACACTCATGTCCTTCTACAGATAGGGAAAACTGAGACGCGGAGAGGCAAACTCAAGTTCACGAGGTCACACAGATAAGGAGCTTTGGAGAGTTCTTAACCAGTGTACTTTCCTAACTCCAAGGGAAAGATTTCATTGTCCACCCGTCTTCAACAAGCATTTGTCATTAACATGAAGACAAAAATGTGGACTGTCATCTCCTTCAGGCTGGAAAATAACCCAGGAGCAATAGTTCGCTCATCTCTGATTTCCTAGGTTAGTTCTGAGAGAGGATGTTTTGACACCCAAGCCTTCCCCCATACTCCCAAATCTTTAGGAAAATAGTACTTTTTTACCCTTGTTGATTTTTCTGATTACAAAATGTATGCTGGAATATCTTTCTAAGTGGTAATATGTATTCAGACCCCACAGAAAGCTATAATGTAGTTAAGAAAATAAATTTCTTAAACTCCTTACTTAACTCAAACTCAAGTGTTAATAGATATTTCTGGAATTTTTCTTCACATAGAATTATATCTACATATTCACAGAAAACAAATATACACATAGCACAGCACATAAGTGTATACACCCATGTATTTTACAAAATAAGATACTTCATGTTGTTCAGAAATGTCTGTTATTGTTCCCTGAACAGCAGACCTGCAACATTAATCCATTTGAGTAGAACAGATTTATCTATGTTTTGAATTATTTCATAGTTTAATTGGTCTTTTTGTTTTTATTTTTTACAGGTTCATAATACTATAGTGAATGATAATAGGAAATCTCAAAAGGAGAGCCAAAGAATTTTAAAAATTGACTGTCATGGTTAAGAAATTATATTAGCTTAGATTTTCTAGAATGGTTTCAATTTTATACATTTTTTTTCCTTCCCAGTATAGGTTGCTAAATGTTTAACTATATAATATTTAAGTTTTTAATTTTAAAAGACTTTTCACATCTTCATATTCTCAAACTTTAACCCATCTGCCTTGCACCATGTAAAAAAAATAACTAAAAATAGATCATATACCAAGATGTAAAATGTAAGCTATAAAACTTATAAAACAAATATAGCAGAAAATGACTGAATTTTTACTTTGAGTCAGGCAAAGGTTTCTTAGATTCCACAATAAAAACACAATTCACAAAGGAAAAAAGAAAGTGATTAGAGTTCATAAAAATTAAGAACTTCTGGCTCTTTAAAAGATGCAGTTAAGACAATGAAAAATCAAATTTGGACAAAATGTTTGCAAATTACAAATGTAATTAACAAACTGAATCAAAAATATGTGAAGAACTCTTTAACACTCAAAGGAAACTGTAACCCAATTAAGAAAAAAAAAAAGCAAAGGATTTACCTATTCTAAGCAGCTAGATATATTCTTCATATTAATGTATAATATAATTTATATATGCACCATAATTTAGTTGTTTAACTCTTTAGGGAAATAATTATCCTTATGCTTCTTCCAGCTCTTCAGATTCAATGGTTAGGATGTTATGCTAATTGCTTTTTTTGTACAAGGCTTGTTAAATTGTAAGAGAGAAGACCAACAGCATGTGATCAATACTTTTAGAGTTAATTTACATCTGTAGCTGCTAGAGAAAGAGAAGGGAAATAGGGGGGAAAAGGGGAGAGATTCAAGTAGAAATAATGGTACTTTACTCTATAAAATAGACTTCTCCATTTTCGGTATAGGCCATCTCCCAGTTTTCAGGTAGAGGACCTAAATTATCCTCTGCAGAAAGAGGTAGGTATTGAGGGAACTTCTGAGAAGGGTCCGTGATGGGAGCAGCGATGATGCTACTATTCACAGGTGGGAGCGTTGCTTCTTGGAGACTGTGCTCTTCTTGGTCACCAGAATCGGCTATTTATTCACCAGAGAGACAGAGAGAAAAAAAAAATAATTCATCAATCATACTCCAAACCAGGGTGATCACTACTGTGCACATTTATGTTCTTAAAATCCTTTCCTAATTGCAGGACATCAACTATATTCTGTCTCACTTAGATGAAAGTTCTTTTAATAGAGAATTGACGTGATGAACCAAATTTATTTTACTGAGAAAGAAGAAAAGGAGAAAATATGCTCAAATAATGCATTACTCACAATCCTGGAAATGTCAAAGAAGAAACATATTCATGACTCAAACCCTCAAGTCCCTCTAACTTTAAGAAGGCCATCAAGTCACAGACTGAGCTGAACTCTCATTACTTAGCTATCATTTGGCTTCATGACTCAAAAGGACTTCTGGGGCAAGGAAAAAGTCCATGCTGAAAACACAGAGATAGTGACATTATCATCCATTTGTAAAAATTTATCTAAAATATTTTTGGTAGATGGTGGCAAATATCAAAGACTGACAAATCAAACTAAAAAGTCTACAAAGGTTTAGAACACAGAGACAGCTCCACCAATGAGTCAGTCTAGCCTCTTTTGGAAAAGTGAGTAGAATGTTCCTGTGAAAACCAAGACAGTTACCCGCAAAGAGTATCCTGTGGGTGGACTGATTTGACTTGGGTCTTGAAGGCTCTAAGTTTCTGAATCTCTTTGCCTTCTTATTAACTAGACATATCCAGAAGGGATGTCATCAGAGTTTCCACAAACGGCATTGTTGACATTCTGGTTGAATTTTTATAGAGGCTGATGATATTAAATGTCAATCTCTATGGGACTTTAAAACATTAATCAGGGGATGTAGTCATTTTCTGTCTCCCACAATAATTCTCCTACAGACATTTCTGATTTACTCATAGCCAACTGAGGAATAATAAAAGGTTGCTTTCAAATCTTTCCCTGATGAGTAGCTCCCAATGACACACATGAGAATAAAGGCAATCCAAAAGTTGGATGGAGGACATGTCAAGCCTATTAAATGATTACCTCCACCAAAAATCCACTGCTTCTGAGAAGGAAGCCTGGGGTCTTTCACCGCCCTGCATCTATACCCTCTTCTTCTGGTACCAACACTCAGATCTCCATTTGGAAATCATCCCCTTCATCGGAGGTTCATGTGGTCCAGGTGGAGACTGACTGATGCCCACTCCAAGCTCATGCAGTGGGCTCAAGTCACACTCATTTCACTCATGCCTTTATGGTTGGATCAGGCACCCATGATCCTTTATGGTTGGATCATGGCAAACTACAGACTGTTCAGCCTGCAAGTGCTTGAGGAACTATTAGGCAAGAGGTAGCCTCTTGATGCTAAAATTAATAAGCTGGTAGATTCTCATGTTGTGAGATGAGAATGCTGATGGTGCTGATGGCCATCTTGAGAACCTTGGCAAGGCTTATCTGAGAACTAAATCCACACAGAGGAAAATACAGATGAAATATGGGAAAGTCACCCAATAACCCTGATGAAGCCTCTCATAGGATTACATGTACTCCTGGCTTCTCCAACTGCGTGATTCCCTCAACTCCCTTTCCTGCTTTAATCAATCTGAATTGCTTTTAAAATTTGCACCCATGAGTGGAGATTAGTAAAATTTTAAGTTAGAAGAAAAAAAGAAGAAATTAGGCCACTATGAAAGAAACAGTTTGAAACTGGTGCGAGCATGCGTGCTCACTTGATTCAATCTTGATCGACTCTGCAACCCTAGGACTGTAGCCCACCAGGCTCTTCTGTCCATGAGATTCTCCATGCAAGAATACTGGAGTGGGTTGCCATGCCCTCCTCCAGGGGATCTTCCCCACCCAGGGACTGAACCCGTGTCTCCTGTGTCTCCTGCACTGTAGGCAGATACTTGACAGCTGAGCCACCAGGAAAGCCCCTGAAACTGGTAATTAATAACAAAGATTCAAAAGTTGGCAAGAATTAAAAGCATGCATGTGTGCAAAGTCTCTCAGTCATGTCTGACTCTTTGTGACCCCATGGACTGTAGCCCACCAGGCTCCTCTGTTTACAGGATTCTTCAGGCAAGAATACTGCAACTGGATGCCATTCCCTCCTCCAGGCATGGCTCCCTACTTCAGAGAATAGATTTGGAATTAGGTTCAAAATATATACTTTGAGGGCACCCAGGTGATGGAGATTGAAGTACAAGCATTACATTTTGAAGACTGAGATACAAAAAGTACTTAAAAAAACAAATCACTGGAATCTTGTTTCTCAGATGGGTTCTGTCAGCTGGCAACATGTCAGAGTATGGTGCGGCCACATGGTACAAATGATGGATATCCAGAACACTGCATCCTGTCTGAAGGAAGCAGAGAACTCAGTGCCAGGCAACTAGCATCCTGATAAAAGTGGACTCAGGGTTTCCAGATCCCTGACTCTTTAAGAAAAGGTGGAAATTTATATTTTGATGCAAAAATCACCAATTTACCAATCATAATTCCTTAAAAAAATAAAGCAGCGTGTCTGGCACAAGCCAAAAAAAAAAAAGAAAGGTAGTGACTATAAGCACTGACTGTGCAGTCAGTCTGCCTGAGTCTGAATCTTGGCTTTACGTTGACTGGGTTTACTCAACCTTTATGTGTTTGAGTTTCCTTATCTTTACAGGCGGAATAGTAACAGTCCCTACCTTATAAGGTTGTAGGGAGGATTAGTCTACGTAAAGCACTCAGTACAGATTTTAGTATACAATAAACCTCATCTTCCTCATTAAAGTCGTTATGATTAATCTTTGCTCGCTGGTCAGAGCTGGCCCATAGATTCATTACAAATGGGCAGAAAAGGATGGATTAGACATCAAACCACAGATCAAATCACAGTGTGCCTGTTTCTAGCTGTGTGTCTTTGAAAGAGACTTTACCTTTCTGGGTACCTGTTTCCTCATCTGTAAAATGGGCATAACACATGCACTACAAGAATGTTTTCATTACATGTTTTCAATACATGCAAAGCACCTGCCAAAGTACCTGGTGCTCAGAGTGCTCAAGAGAGCTCAGGATCAGGACTGGCTAAAGGAAACACCCAGGGCCAAAGTCAGTGGTCATCTCTTAATATAACATTTAAGAGTTTGAAAAATTTTAATTGACCCATTTTAATAGAAACTAGATGTAACAGGAAAGGGATGGTAGCCATAGGTAGGTCACTACATGTGAAAAGAGAAACAGTGTGATTTAATACCTAATGTATACAATTTATGCCGGGAAGAAAAGAGAGGAGGGAGAGGAAGGGAGTCCGGCCAGCATTCCAAAATCTGGACTACATGAAGGGAATATTAGCTCACTGGAAATACATATATGTAAATTGTAACTTCCTAGAGAAAAAAGAAATTCCTCTAGCAATGAGACCTTTTTTTTTTTGAGACTTATTTTAAATTATCCAAATATTTATTTTATAGGTTCTCAGTGTCTTCCTGTTTTAAAACCACTTTATTTACATATTAACTGACATACAAAAAGTTACAGATATTAATTTCTCAGCTTTATTGAGGTATAATTGACAAAACTGTAAGATATTTAAAATGAACATCATAACAATTTGACATATGTGAATGTTACCCAAGGATTCCTTCCATCTAGTTAATTTTTGGGAGGGGGGAAAAAAACATAGATATTAAACACGTACGACTTGATATATTTAGTTTTCTGTTTCTTTTTTCAATAGAACCTTAAACATTCTCATTCTCTGAAAGAAAAAGAGAAGTCCAAAAATGAGAGAGAGGAGCAGATTTTAAAAATTCACAGTCCTAATCACAGCTTTGACCTTAACACACGCTCTGACTTCAAAAACTCTTCCATTTAATTTACCGAACATTTAAGAGCACTGCTATCACGCTCTAAAGATTAGATTACTAAATTATTACTAAAGATTGCCAATGCATCTAAAGAGGACAGGTAGAATGGATTACTCAAATACTAAGACTGGCAAGTAGATAAGAAGCTACATGCTCCAACTGCCTAGTGGGATTGATAACACTATTTCTCAGGGTTCCTGTCTGCAAAATGGGGAAGATAATAGTTAGACTGCTTATTTCTCAAAAATTTCCAAAAGGTTTATAAGATACATGTGAAAATGATTCATAAACCATAAAAAAACCACAAAAAACATTTTCATTTGCAGACACTTCCCAGTATTTACATCACACACACACACTCTTGGGAGATTTTGAAGGTGACTTTGAGAACATAAACTCGTGTCAAACACACATTCTGGAGCTTATTTTAAATTACACATGCATTTAGATTTATGTGTACACTCACTGTGTACATAACCAGTCAAAACCTTTGATGCTGCAAGGGGCTAGTAAACTTGACTTAAAACACAAAGCCATATAGATTCTGGAGTCAGGATTTTTGGGTTGAAATGACAGCTTTGACCCTCATTGGTTGAGTAATACTGGACAAGCAGTTAGAACTCCCCAGTAATATGCATGAGAGCTTAGCAAAATGCCTGCCACAGAGCACTGCGGAAACATTAACTCTTTTGGTAATATCGTTATCTCTTGACATTCCAAAGCAGTATTTTATCATTAATCACTAATGAAAAAGAAGCATTGGCAGCCTAATGTTGAACAACAGGGAAGCTGTTGAGAAAACAAGCTTAGGAATAAAATTAAATAACATTTTTGGTGTCTCTTATATATGGTTGATGGATGCATCAACTACTTTTTAGTTGTGGTGGTTTGTTATATATTTTCCAAGTTTTTCTACAATGAACAAAATCTTTTAAAAAATGTTTTCATTTACTTATATAAATAACTGTGTTTTGCCCAACAATTTAAGCTTATATCTACTTTCATGAAGGGCCTTCTTTAAATCTATAATTTGGGCATTATTTGTAGACGATTCTCCCTCTGTCTTGTGTTCGACAGTAAGTTCTATGGTAAGAATCGGGGATGACTGCTCATGACTCAGCTCCTGCCTCCATCTTTGGTTGCAGAAAGGAAGATTCAACCTTCCCAGGATGCTCCAGGCCTTAAGTACCCTGCTCTCTGCCAGCAGACAGTGCCAACATTATTTAGGCATGTTATTTAGATATCCTGTGTCCCTTTCAAAAGACCCAAGCAGACGTTGGCTGAGATCGTACCAATATCCCATTATTAAAAAACACCCTAGGTAAATATCATTTTAAATAGCTGTATGGTGTTTCCACATTTGAATCTGGTACCCTTCATCACCATTGGCCCAACCAGGAGCCAAGACCTCATTATGTTACTGTCACTCTGTGCTCGAAGCGGCTGCTGGATTGCTACTTACAAGTGGTTCAGAGTGCAAGATGCTTTGACACAGCTAGCATGGTACACATCTCACAGACTGTGTAGTGGCAATTATTTCAAAAGAATTCACATGAGTGAGAGTATGACAGCTTGTCAGCTGTCATACTTGTAGTCTGGTAAGTGAAGAGCCATTTATTCAACATTTCCCTTGCATACTGAAGATGCCCAATTGCTTGTCTATCTCAAGATCAATTCTCTCCCTGTATATCTGATCAGGTGACAATCAGTTTTCTTTCTTTGTGCATAAATGAATGTTCACACTGCCTTTAGCAATGATGACCTGGGGCCAGATTTTTTTTTTTTTTTTTTGACACCAGGATTTCAAACAGGGGTGTTACAAGGTCAGATTTTCTGAGGTGTGACTTCTACAACAGGGATTTATAGTGGTTAGAAATTAGGAAGCATCAAAACCTACAGTCAGCTATCCCTGCTCTGTTCAAGCTTTGTACTGACAAGGAGGACACACAAAGGTACACAAGCTTCTTGAGACCATCCAGTCACTCTGGCAGAACTGTTTCACTGCATGTTATCCTCAAGGTCTGTTAATATTTCTATGCCCACATCTATATTTTTGGGTTATATCATGATTTGCTGTTCTTACCTGTTGAAAGATCAAGACCCTTTTTTTTTTTCATAATGTGCTTTCCTTTTGGTGATGACTACTATATATGGATAAAATATTTTGATGTAGATGAAATTAGCTGATTTCAATAAATGCCTAAGTAAAAACAGGTAAATTTCTCCTAGATACTGTTAACAACAGGTCAGTGACCAGCCTAATGAAGAAAATACAAATTTTCATGAACTTAAATCCTTAGGGCTGGAAGGGGGGACCTGATGTGATTGAATTCTAATCAGTAATTAGAGAAGTTAGATACTAACTTCATAACAAGACAGCTACCAAGAACAAAGCTAGGGTAGCAAACTGGGTCTCCTCCTTTCTCTAGTGCTTCTTGCAGAATGGCTGGTCTAACTGTTATGATGATAAGTCACCAAAACCTTTTTTTTTTAATTGTTAACTTCAAAAATTTTAGGCTTCTGAATTCAGTGAATGAGAAAGCTTCAGAGAGGTCCATACAGGCAGTAGAAAGCACTCAACTAATAGAAACTGCTTTTCTGAAAGACTCTGTTACGACTTAACAGCACAAGAAGGAAAATACCCTAAAATATCAAAAGAAATTAAGTACAGGAAAAACAGAAGAAACAAGATGGTCTTTTAAAGTCACATCCTTATAGACTGGAGTAACTCACGTCTTATGGAGCTGTTAAATTTTGAGTTACTCTATATATTAAACCCCCACAAAGCCAAATATACTATTGAACCATTCTGGGTCACTGTGCTAACCTATAGAGCATATATCATGGCCTCAGTGAACAGTGCCTCCTAGGAATGTGCACGTCCTAATCTGCATAGCTTTATGCAGAGGGTTCATCTTTGAAGATCCTTTCATAAAATATAGCCTACTAAGCTTGAGCATAGATAGTTCTGACTGTATATTAAAAACTATACTGCAATGAGCAATATATGCTATGCAATATAAAATACATATAGAAAATATAATCTTAGAATATTTATTTTTCCATCTTTTATTTCTTAGGGAATGTAGTAAACTTTGCATTAATTAACTGAAAACGTGATTTATTTCTACTGTATCTCTATTTACAAAGGTATGAGATAAAAGGATGCATTCCATATAGCATCAAGTGATATTAAACAGATTCTCCTATTTCTCTTTATAAACAATCATCCATAATTATGGAGCAGTGTCAAGGCCAAGTAATAAATGAACAAAATAGTGATTCTTATAGGTATCAATTTGAAGAGAGAGAAAGGATGCCGATTATTTTTTTTGTTTCCGCCCGGTTCCAAACTGGGGACCTTTCACATGTGAGGCAAACATGATAACCACTACACTACGGAAACTCTGAAGGATGCCGATTATTTTTTATTTCCTTCTACAAACACTTCCCTCCTGTCCCTTTAAGATAGCTGGGTGAAGTTAAAAGACTCTTGACAAGAAGCATGAAAAACAGACCAGGGAAAAGATCAGCTATTATACAGAGTGAGGTAAGTCAGAAAGAAACACAACTATCGTATATTAATGCATATATATGGAATCTAGAAAGATGGGCAGCAGTGGAGACTCAGACACAGAGAACAGACTTGTGGACACAGTGCGGGAAGGGGAGGGTGGGACGAATGGAGAGAGTGGTATGAAAACATACACACTAACATGTAAAACAGATTGCCCATGGGGATTTTCTGCATGACTCAGGGAGCCCAAACCAGTGCTCTGACCACCTAGAGGGATGAATGGGGTGGGAAGTGGGGGGGAAGTTCAAAAGGGAGGGGACACATGTATACCTATGGCTGATTCACATTAATGTACGGCAGTAACCAAAACCATATTGCAAAGTAATTACCTTTCAATTAAAAATGAAAATTTTAAAAATAAGGGAGATGGGAGGGAGGTTTAAGAGGAAGGGGACATATGTATACCTATGGCTGATTCATGTTGATGTCTGACAGAAAACAACAAAATTCTGTAAAGCAATTATCCTTCAATTAAAAAATTTAATAAAATTTTAAAAAGAAAAAAAAAATTCTGGGCACAGGATAAAAATAAAAAGACCATCTCTTCCATAAGCACTGTGTGGCCACAGTTTGAATTTTAGTGATCCTTCCAAATTCTTCCCGAGAACAAAAACCTCCTCACAACTCCTTGTAAATCCTCCCTCCTCCCTCCTTCCCCAAGTCCGCTTAGGGGGAGCATCATCTGGTCTTTACCTGTAAAGCTACTGTTCATTTCAGGAACATCATCCTCTTCCTCATTCTCCGCGTGGACTATGCCAGCATTTTGCATATCATTGTAGGACTTGGTTCGCTTTGGGGTTGACTGCTTGGAGCCAGAGTGAAGGCTTTGCAAGGCATCCGTCGTGATCACTTTCCCACTGACTGGCTGGCTAGGAGGTTTGGGTGTCCCATAATAGTTTCCTAGGTGATGGAGAGACACATTTGCATGTTTTAGAAAGAATACTTTGTTTTTCTCAAGTCTGCAAATCCAAATCTCTTAGCCCATTTAAAAAAAAAAAATTTTTTTTTTTTTTAAATTAGAAAACCAGAACAACCTGTATTTCATTTCTGGAATGGGTAAGAAAACATGTTGGTCCTATCCAGTTAGACATGGTGATTTCAGAAGCCAGGAGGAAAGCTGCATTGTGGTGGGGAAAGAACCCACTAGGGATGAAAACAAAAGGGGCTATGCAGAATGGAAAAGCTTCATCCTCATTACATTTGAATTTCAATTGGTCACCGTTTCACATATATGCACTAGCATAATGCAGAATCCAATTTGGAGTGAGTGGCACACAAAATAACAAATTCATTACCGCCAGCACCCTTACAAGCTGACACAGTGGAGGTCACCCTCCCTTAATAAGGAAAACTCCTCAAGAGGGAACCCAAGCAATATTTTTTAAAAAAAGAGAGTGAACACCACGTGGCGCCTCTTTAGCTGAATGGCAGGTCTGAGTGGCACAGTCGTGTGTGGCTGGAACAAACCCGTGCCCAGCTCTCACAGGAAACTCTGGGTCAGCAGTGGCAGACTGGCACCCTTCACGGGTCATTTGTTTAGTCAGTGCCCATTTTCATTTTTAGCCACTTGCCTCCAGAGTTTGGCTCAGCTCTGACTCTCATGTGCAAAGTGACTCTGGGCAGGACCAGGATAGGCTTTCATGTCCTAATTTTTTTAATTTAAAATGTGTATATTTTTAGTGTGCAGTACAGAAATCTAACTAGTAAAATAAAATGTTTACTTTAAAAAATGATAAAGCAATACTTTATAAAATTGACTTTTTAAAACGTGAAGATTAAACTTCAGGTTTAAAAAAGCAGATATATTTAATAAGAAATTGGGTATATAATAACAACAGTAGAAATGAGGTGTCTTTTGAACATGAGTTAAAAATTATTTTAAAGAAAGTGTCAAGCAAATAATGGACACTATAACAAGATATAGACAAAATCTTGAAGGTTAATTCATGAATGGGCAAAATTTGAAAACTACAGCTTAAAATCAATAATATTCAGTGACCATATGATCAAAAGCATCAACATCAGAATGCCCTAAATCCACTCAGCATCTCACATCTTCTAGACTAAGGCCAGATAGACTGATCTTCTTAGGCCCTACAAAAAATCCTATGTAATGTCTATAATTTTGTGCTTGGTAAAGTAGAATTTGTAAATAATAACAAATCCTATACACACTGTTTCTTCCCAAGAATCTCATCCCATTGTCAAACAGATATTACAGGGTTTATATACATTAAGCTTTATCTTTATAATTAAATATTCTTTATGACATTATTTTTTTAAACTATTTTTTGAATCATCAAACTTATGAACATATGCATCCACTTTCTTTGAAAGTGGTGTAAATAGCATGCGTCAGCAGGGAAATCCTGAACATGCATGTTAAAAAGAGCAGCAGAATGAGACAAGCGCTCAGGGCTGGTGCACTGGGAAGACCCAGAGGGATGGGATGGAGAGGGAGGCGGGAGGGGGGATTGGGATGGGGAACACATGCAAATCCATGGCTGATTCATGTCAATGTATGGCAAAAACCACTACAATATTGTAAAGTAATTAGTCTCCAACTAATAAAAATAAATGGAAAAAAGAAAAAAAAAAACAGCAGCAGAATAAAGGGCACCATGTTTGAACTTGAAGGAAACCACACAGAAGTCAATGAGCACATTCTGGTGGCTTGCACTCAACTCAATCACTTCTTTCACACAAGGAGGTATCTCAACCTCTTCAAAACCTTCATTCAGCTTTCTAACACAAAGGTAGAGAGACTGAGCAGAACCAGTGTGAAGAAAAGGCATCCATGTGTTTCTAGGAACTAACACAAGTACAGGGAAAAATAAACACATAAATAAGCCAAGACTCAGCCTGCATTTCTAAACAGGTTACATCAAAGGATGTCCCATGTCTTTGATGAAGTTGAATCTTGGCCGCAGTATTGACTATTTTCACTAACTGGAGATTCTTAGTGGGGTTTAGGTAAATAAAACAGTTGACTATTTAAAAAGTAATCTTCACGGTGAACAAGAAATAAAGACAAAGCTCTACCGAATTCTTTATGATCATTATTATACCAAAACATAGCATACATTTTTCAGTTAGAGATTAAAGTAAGGCCAATGTCTACAAATAAGAATCTTCCAGTGAAGGATGTGATTTAAAAGATAGGACTCTTGATTCATAATTTTATAATTATAATTTTATAACATTCAAGAAGCTATTGTCATTTAAAAAATCAATTAAAACTTAGACATCCTATTTATGACAAAAATAAATGTCTGGAAAAGAAAAGTTCTACCTAAATTTGACAAATTTATGTGGATTTTCCTCAGTTTTCAAGGAAGGTCAGGGTCTTTCTTAAGTTAGTAAATGATTAGCAGATTTCTCAATGCAATTACAAATTCTCCCAACAACCCACTTATTCATAGTTGTTTCCTGTCTCTGGAAATTAGTTTAAGATTGATTAGAGACAGATAAAGTACATATTATTAGACTGAACCATATGCAACTGCTGATACAGAAGACAAACTGTCAAATATCAGCAATTTCATTTGGGTTAATCTACAGTAAAGCATCTGCCTACAATGTGGGAGACCCAGGTTCAATCCCTGGGTCAGGAAGCTCTCCTGGAGAAGGAAATGGCAACCCACTCCAGTATTCTTGCCTGGAAAATCCCATGGATGGAGGAATCTGGTAGGCTACAGTCCATGGGGTTGCAAAGAGTCAGACACGACCGCGACTTCACTTTCACTTTCAAAGTATAGATTAACATATGTTCAACATTCACTGGATCACAGAAAAAGCAAGAGAGTTCCAGAGAAACATCTACTTCTGCTTCACTGACTATGCTAAAGCCTTTGATCGTGTGGATCACAACAAACTGTGGAAAATTCTTAAAGAGACAAGAGGATCAGACCACCTTACCTGTCTCCTGAGAAACTTGTATGCGAGTCAGAAAGCCATAATGAGAACCTTACATAGAATGACTTGTCCAAAATTGGGAAAGGAATATGACAAGGCTGCATATTGTCAGCCTGTTTATTTACCTTATATACAGAGTACATCATGCAAAATACAAGGCTGGATGGATCACAAGTTAGAATCAAGATTGCAGGGAGAAATATCAACATCTCAGATATGCAGATGATACCACTATAATAGCAGGAAGTGAAGAGGAACTAAAGAGCCTCTTGATGAGGGTGAAAAAGCTGGCTTAAAACTCAACATTAAAAAAACTAAGATCATGGCATCTGGTCCCATCACTTCATGGCAAATAGAAGGGGTAAAAGTGGAAGTAGTGACAGATTTTATTTTCTTGGTCTCCAAAGTCAATATGGATGGTGACTATAGCCATAAAATTAAAAGATGCTTGCTCCTTAGAAGGAAAGCTATGACAAACCTAGACAACATATTAAAAAGCAGAGACATTACTTTGCTGACAAAGGTCCATATAGTCAAAGCTTGTTTTCCAGTAGTCATGTATGAATGTGAGAGTTGGACCGTAAAGAAGGCTGAGTGCTAAAGAAATGATGCTTTCAAATTGTGGTACTGGAGAAAACTCATGAGTTCCTTGGTCTGCAAGGAGAAAAAACCAGTCAATCCTAAAGGAAATCAACTCTAAATATTCATTGGAAGGACTGATGCTGAAGCTGAAGCTCCAACACTTTGGCCACCTGATGTGAAGAGCAGACTCTTCCTATTATGAGGATACAATGAGACAGTCCATTTAATGCTTTTAGTACTTGCAAAAGACTTCACTATAAGGCTCGATACATGCTATAATACTTAATGTTAACAGTGTATGTTTCTAATCTTTAAAAGGAAGCTCTTTACACCTTAGTAGAAGGATTAATGAGACAATGT